GAGAATAAGTGCTAGGACAGCAAAGCACTAAATATTTTTAACTATGCGTATGTGATTAGAATTATACTTTAGTAGTTTTTTAAAGTTAATATAGTAATACCAGATAGGGTTAAACCTCTATGTACGTTTTATAGTACATAGTACATTTTTAAGAATCCTTAAAGCACTATTTCTAAGACAGAAATAACAAATATATATATTTCAAAGCGTGTTCTTGGATCAGACCTTAGTGGAATTAATACCACGATTCTGTGAGCAGTAGTTCTAGTACACACGCATCGTCCGATCAATAACTTCACTTTTATTTCAAATGTATAGCTTCTTTATATCAGCAAAAGAGTATCATATTTAAAAATGTATTTAAAGGGCTTGATAAATAACATATATAGTATATTTTTTTGTTAAATTTGTTAGATATGACTCAGCTTTTACTAATGGTGCAAAACTATTAAAAGTAGAAACTTTCAAGTTATTCCGTCCAATATCAAATACGGGTCTTATACATTTGTCTGACAATGCATTCTGATTTGAAATGCTTGGGCAATTATATGACTGCAATAGCCAAGAGATATAACCATTTCGAGTTAAATACTCTAAACATCTGGGATTGAATATTTTGTTCAGAATTACAAAATTACAATAGCTTAAGTCAACTAATATCTCTGACTAATAGGAATACTTATATATGTGACCAAAATAATCGAAATTATCATGAGGAAGCAGCAGAAAGAATCGTGGTCCAGGTATTACATCTCTGATATTGAGTTAACTGCTTAGGAAAAATTCATATTAACGCGTTGCTACAAATGACTGTAGTTATCGAAATAACACTTGAGCTTACCGTTTAATTAAAATTTTTAAATAGAGTGGGTGTAAACCAAAACTAACGAGGGTCATGTCATTAAATGGTCTACAAACTTAGGAAATATGTTGGATTTGCGTTAAATAAGTATAATATAGGAGAGTATCGTAATTGAGTTCAAATCCGCACCGGTCTGTTTCACTGTTTAATGTCCCAAATATTGTTTATATAAATCTCTCTCTATTATAACCTTATCTTAATATAAGAGAATACTTCAAAACTTCCAGAATAAGTTCCATTTATTTCTGATGGTAGAAAGTACTGGTCTAATAGTTTCCAAAGAACATTAAATATATAGCTCAGTCACCTAAAATTACAATTATAGCTTTCTCATCTTACTTGGTTTTCGTTCCATCGCTTGAAGTATTTAAATAATTTTCCTGAAATCTTCCCACTTCATCAACTTTTATTGAAACAACGTTTTTGTAACGCTCGAAAATATTCCAATGCACAAAATGTAATAAAACTTTTTCAAAATCTTCCATCACCGAAGGCCAGAGGGTGTCTAAGAATGCAGGATTCGTAAATGGAAAATTGTGAATTCATAGAGGAATTTCTTGTGCCTAAACTAAAAACTCATAAATCTCGCATGTGACACATGCACATTTTAATGACTCATCCAACATCCGAAAAAAAGTCGTGCTATTTTTGTCAAAGTACAAAATGTTTGTCGTCTTCAAAGAAGCTGCTCCCGTACAGCTGCAGCGCGGTGAGCTATGCATGAGCGCATTTTGTTGTTGCTTGTTATTTTTAAAGCACTTCGATGTGCCCCAAAATGATCCCCAGGAGCGATAAAATAAAAGATGCGTCTTGCATGTATTTGTTGCACATTCAATAGAGAAAATTCTATTTCTGAAAGTGTGAGAAGTACAAAAATGTCACCTCAGGAAAAGAGAAGGGGACTAGGATTAAAGAAATACATACAAACTTCGTTTAAGTGTTGCTCCCGACTAGAGAATGCATCGCGGAGGTGAGCATTTTTAAAGTATATTTAGTACCTAGTCATTGCAGCTCGACAAGGTTCTACGGCATTGACTGGCTGCGTTGTATCGTCGCCACTGTCATTCCCGCTGCAGTAGCAACGCTGCACTTTTGTCGCGAGTGGCGAGTGCCAAATGTCGCCGGCTTTCGAGTACACAAAATGACGCATCCCGTAAATATGAAATTTTATTTTTAATCTGCATAAGTTGCTTTGCACTTTTCAGTTTTTCCCCTTTATTATTTTGTTAGCTCGCTTACGAGTATTTTGCCCGAATAATTCGGTCCATGATTGCCAACTCCATAATTCGGAGTTGGCCGCTGCAGTTGGCGGACTTCAGTTTTGACTGCTGCGGGTTGCCATGTGTCAAAGCTCTTAAGTTGGTTAAGTCTGCAGTAAAATTGGGATTTACGATATGATAAATTACCAGGCGATATTTTTAGTTGAATTTATGTCGAAAATGATTTATTTGTTGTTTTTTGTTTTAATTATTGAGTGGCATTTTTGATGTTTGAATGGGGCGGAGATTGCATTAGATGTGGAAAATGGAGTTGCATTCCTCAAAGTGAAGTTGATGATGATTAATTTGAAACTCAGTCAGAGTAGTTTATTTCTAACACATATTGGGCTATATTTTCTAATTTCCACTTTCTAATAATTAGATTGATTTTTATCGACTAAATCCAAAACATTACTTTGTGATAAGTATTAGCTATGAGCTATGAATTAATTAATTAGTCTTGCTTTTATTAAGTTTTCTTGCAGCGAAATAGGAAAGAAAGCAAATTCAATTAAAGAAATTTAAAATAGTATCTCAAAGTTAAATGACTTAAATTGCAATGCAAAAACGTAGTTCGATAGAAGAGTACTGTTAGTAGATATCAAACGAAAAGCTATGTTTATGTGTTATTTATTATTGCTTAAGTTGACGAATTTTAATTTCTTAAAAGAAAGAAACATGTTTAGTTTCTTTATGTACATATAAATAATTTTCTGAATGTAATGAAGACAATTAATAAATTGAAACTAAATCCGATAAGTTTCAAACCAAGAACACTAAATACATCTGGCTCATCAGCTTAAATTTGATTCTCAATCAAAATCATTAGGCGAAAATCCTTCGTAATTGCAAAATATCAAAAATGACGTTATCGATGTATCTTTATCTATAAATCACATATTGAAAACTCATGTGCAGTTAATTGCAAACTCAGATTTGTATGGTTGGCTTACGCTCAACTGCATTTCTTACTGAGACTGACTGAAGCAACACAGGAGAGTATGTAAGTTTGAAAGTACTTCAGTGGAGCATTAATTTGTGTGGGAAATAATTGCTTAATACTCGAATCTTAATAAGAATCTGTAAATGTTGTTAATCCTTTACAGCAATCAAATGAAAATTTAAATTAAATTACAATGAATTTTAACTTTAGAAGAATGAATTACTCATTTTTAACAAACAATTGGCTTTAAGGGCACCAGATAAGGTAAGAAGATAAACAAAGAAAAGTTAATAGAACAATCTTTATGTCTACGCATAGCAAATCCATATTTTAACAATTAGGACTTAGTGATAGTCTTAAAAAATTATAGCCTTTTGTTGTGTTCATATATCTTTGAAACTCTTATATATGGCAGTTAATTGAGATAATTTCCACTAATTCCTTATTTGTTGAAATATAAGTCCTTGAGATTAAAGCACTTTAAGAAATATAAAATGCTTAAATCTTAACAATTGACACATATTCGTATCAATATACTCTTCTGATACAGTCCAACTACAATAATAATGTTATGAGAGATATATGTTATTTATCATAGAGGAAAACATTTACCATTCGTTACTTTACAAATTGAGGTGACTAGGCTTTAGAAAACTTATATCAAAACTAAATGTTTAATATTTCCTTTTCTTGTTCTTCCTCTTTTTCTTCCATCTGTTATCCGATTTCCTTATACTGCATATAAAAAAGATTTTCATTTCCTAAACGCAACTTCCTATATTCCCTATAAAAAGTTTGAAAATGTTCCCTTCTGAATTTGTGATGGTCTCCAGCTATTGATTGTCTCGAATGAAAATAAATTTTAGTTATTAAAAAAATTTTAATAAATTTTAGTTATTGACTTAAATTTTAATTACAGTACGATCCTAATATCCCATTTGACAACATATTTTGGGGAAGAGAACTATTTTGAGCTCTTTTTCCATTATGCTTTATATGAATATAGTTTATCTATCTAAGTATTGGGATTTAAACTTAGCAATATGAACATGAAAACTACCAAGTAGGTGCATCATCTGGTCATTTTTTTGTTACCCGTTATTTGAGTGATCAATACAAACATCACATTACTAGTTTACACTAGATGGCATGTGTGGTTTTTGTTGGTGTGATTAGCGTAAAAAGTTTTCAAGTGTAAGCCCCGATGTATCAAGAAAAAAGATTTATCGACAAATAACGTAATGGAAAAGGTTGCTCAAAATAACTGACTCAAGTAAAATTCATTGTTAAATGGGGAAAACAGAGTCGCTTATTGATTGTAAACTCCATTTAATGGTTAAAAGTTCAACTTATTTGTATATATATACTCGTATGTAGAGATTATATTCAAAACACATCCATGTACATACATACTCCTTCACATTCCGTTTCTGGTATTTAGTCTGTATTCTTCACTTTATATCTGTTACCACTACTCTTTTAAAATTGCTTTGTTTTTGCAGTAACTGAACTGATATGGTGTTATAAATCTTCCTCCTCCTCCGTATTAGAATTTGATTGTTCCCGATTGTTACTGTATTTCATAAATGTTGATTTTTATATATTTTCTCTTAAAAATTACATCCCATAACCATTAATTGCTTCAAATTACAGCAGTTTTGCTTTTGTTTACTCCAAGAAGTTCCATTAAGAAATTCTAATATTTATATTTCTTTCTCCTGCTCCAAGGCACTTGGTCACTTGAAACTCTTTAGCATCCTCAGGCAGCTTGTCTGTGATTATTTATAAATATTAAGTGTAAACAAATGCATGCGTTTTATGGTTTTCAACACGTTTGCAGTTCGAATTGGTAGATTTCAGAGAATTAAAAAAATGAATTTTATGAGCAATCAAAAATGAAACTAATTTTTGTATTTTTCCATTTATTCCATTTTAGTTCTGGGAGATTATTTCGGAGGAACATGGCATAGACAGCAATGGTATTTACAATGGCGACAGCGATCTCCAGTTGGAACGTGTCAGTGTTTACTACAACGAAGCATCAGGTACGTAAACGGAACAGCCAACGCAGCCAATTACTTTTGGAATCAGTAGAGGTCTTAGAATGAAGCTATGAAAAAATCACCTCATAGCAGTTTATTTTGCAGAAATATAATTCTATCACGTTTGAAACGGCTTAATACTCACTTCACCAACAAATCATCTAACTTAACGCAAACCGCTCTACACACTCAAACGATATGACAAGCACATAACAACACGTTCCGATAATCGTTCCAAGAGCTTGATTACGGCTTAATTATTGGATGAATCATTTTCCTTGCAATCATTCGTCTTAATTATGCAGAAAATAGTTTCTAGAAGTGTGTACCTTAATCAGGTACTCAGTTTTCTTACTTAGCATAATTATGTACTTGTAATGAGTCAGTAATCACTAAAAAAATCCAGTCACGTCACATTTGCCCCTACGAATGCAAACTGCATTTGTGCCAAACCGGCTGCACCGCACTGCAGTTGCTTACCATATCAAGCAGACTTTTTGGGAAAGCTTTAAATAATTTTATTGTTTCTAAAAATTTTTGGAATTCATAGTCTGCGGCATAATTTTATAGCTTCTATAAACACTTCCTGCCAAACAAAATGCACGTGTCACGCATTCTAAGTGGCAATCGAAAGGTGGCAAAATATGGCACGATTGTATGGTGTTTACGCCAATTGAGGCGTTTGAACCGCAAACGACGTTTATCGTTCTGAAATGGGCGGCTAGTGAGATTTATGAAAAATAATTATTACCTATTTCTATATTTACATGCAGAATATCATTAGTGCCAGAATGGAAACTTTTCTATTACCTACACCGTAATTGGGTTTGCCGGTCATAGTACCGAGTGAAGACCCTTAATAGATTCGCTTTTTTTAACCCGTTTATTTTTAGAAAGTGTAAGAGTAGACAACTTAAAATCAGTGAAATATTGAAATATACATAAATCCATAGTGATAGAGAGGCACAATGTGAACTATATAACAGAAGAAAAAATTATAGAGAGTGAAGTTCCCTATAGAGTAAATGGTTTTCACGACAAGAAAGTCTTTAGAATCAAACGCATATTGCCATTATGGTCATCGGTATAGTTTGATACTGAAAAACTCTAGATTGCTCCCGGAATCAAGAGTTCGCAACTACTGTCCCATTCTTGTGGTTAACTTCCAGATAGCGATAGCACTAGTCACATCAGATATTCACATTTCATTAAGAGGAGTTTCTTTAAATACTCCATTATTAATGTCAGTTCTTTCCGGTTAAGAATACCGCTTGTTTATAAGATAAGGCACAAATTATTTTCTGGAAATGAAAGTTAAAAAAGGATGAACTTGTACAATAGAGAAGGGAAAGTGATAAGCATACGAAACCTAATAAGACTGATTCTTTTTCTGTATAAGGAAAGCCAAAGATGCGAGTATTGAGATGCTTTGAAGTTCGATTAAAATTTCTTTAAAAACTTACTGACAGTTGTCAAAGAAATTCCAACATTTTCTTCACTAGATATTCTAATTCAAAAATAATCAAATTCAAGCTTATGTCATCAGAATCAATTGTATTAAAGTGGATTAATAATACTTATATTAGAAAATATAGAACTTTAAAAATGACAAATTATATATCTAACTTTTAACTTTTTTATCGTAATCATCTCTTTAAACCTTTAAAACACATCATTAATTGATCATATATATATTAAAATTCCATCTACATTCGATTTATAAAAACTTATTAATCCCTTTTAGCTGTTACTCGTTCTTCAGGTGGCAAATATGTACCACGAGCCATTTTACTGGATTTGGAACCAGGCACTATGGAAGCCGTACGTTCTGGTCCTTATGGTCAACTTTTCCGTCCCGATAACTTCGTGTTCGGACAATCTGGTGCTGGCAATAATTGGGCTAAAGGACATTATACTGAAGGAGCGGAATTGGTTGACAACGTATTGGATGTAGTGCGTAAAGAATGCGAGAATTGCGATTGCTTACAGGTATGACACACAGATAAAGACTTTATTTTGTCTGTTCACCCTATCTAATACTGTTTTTATTTTTAGGGCTTTCAATTGACGCACTCACTTGGTGGCGGCACTGGTTCTGGTATGGGTACTTTATTAATATCTAAAATACGCGAGGAATATCCGGATCGTATTATGAACACTTATTCGGTGGTACCATCACCTAAAGTATCCGACACAGTTGTCGAGCCATACAATGCCACCTTGTCCATCCACCAATTGGTCGAAAACACCGACGAAACATATTGCATCGATAATGAAGCTTTATATGATATCTGCTTCCGAACTCTAAAAGTTTCAAACCCAAGCTACGGCGATTTAAATCATCTCGTCTCATTGACTATGTCCGGAGTCACAACTTGCTTGCGTTTCCCTGGACAGTTGAATGCAGATTTACGCAAATTAGCTGTCAATATGGTGCCTTTCCCACGCTTACATTTCTTCATGCCTGGCTTTGCACCGCTCACCTCCAGAGGCTCACAGCAGTACCGCGCCCTCACGGTGCCTGAATTGACTCAGCAAATGTTCGATGCCAAGAATATGATGGCTGCTTGCGATCCACGTCATGGACGTTACTTAACCGTTGCTGCAGTGTTCCGTGGACGCATGTCCATGAAGGAGGTGGATGAGCAAATGCTGGCAGTACAAAATAAGAATAGCTCTTACTTCGTAGAATGGATTCCAAATAACGTGAAGACTGCAGTGTGCGATATACCACCGAAAGGTCTCAAGATGTCTTCTACTTTCATTGGCAACACAACTGCCATTCAAGAACTCTTTAAGCGAATTTCTGAACAGTTCTCCGCTATGTTTAGACGCAAAGCTTTCTTGCATTGGTATACAGGAGAGGGTATGGACGAAATGGAATTTACAGAAGCCGAAAGCAATATGAATGATTTAGTATCTGAATATCAGCAATATCAAGAAGCTACTGCCGATGATGATTTCGATCCTGAAGCGCACCAGGAGGAGGTCGAGGGCGATTGTATTTAATGTTAGAGCCAGAGGAATGAGAAGCGTGCGTGGGGAAGAGGGGCGGTATGAACGTTTATGGATGCGCGGTATGCACATAAATTTTAGGGCAAGATACGGAAACTGTGGCATACTCTAAGAAGCAGTATTAGTCTCAGCAATACGCCGCCCACCTCTTTTCAATACAACAAGAACAACAAAATTAAACACCCACACATACGACTACACTTACACACATTTATACATACGCAAAAATTGATAGCAAAAGTAAAAACAATGAACTTAGTTTTAAAATCTCGCAAGCGAAAATGTTCCATTTTCATAAAATTCTATAATTTATTAGAACGTTTTGGTATTAGAACACTAAACACACTTAATTTAAGCACGTATTTCGCATTTCTCTGTCTATTTCACACTATCTTCTATCTCTTTCGGTTCGGCTCTTTCAGCTCGAATACATCTTTCATGAATTTACATTTCAGCGCACTCATTTTCACAGACAGACGCTCGCTACAGTCACCATAAAATCCTCAGACACAAACTCATGTCCTTTCATCTCATCGCAATCCCTATTTCATGTTTTAGCAACTTAAGTATTAATTGTTTACTGAGGGTCCCAGTTTTAAATAACGAATTCTTTCATTTTTACATTTTTTGAGCAAATTCCTCCGAGAAGCGTTTCCAAAAAGACTGACAAAAATAAACTGTAACTACCAAGAAAATAAGAAATGCTTCTTCTTCCGAAATAATTTTAAGTATCAAGCGATAACGTTGGCAAGGACAACACAAAGGAGGTTGCGAAATTCGGTACTGAGTTTTGGATTATTTATTAGAGAATTTCCAATACATATACAGTTCATTGCAGAAAGTAGTTGTGAATGATTCACAATAAGTTACTTCCTTTGGCGATTTTACAGAATTCACAATAGATTTCAAACATAGAAAGAAAGTTTTTAACTCACAAAAGGATAATTCTTTCAATTGCTATCCTTGAAGACGAAGTGAAGCAACCAACTTGAAATTATTTATACTAAAACTGGGAAATGACTTAATAAAAAAATTGCAATAAATTCTTAGATCCAAAGGTGGTAAAACTTTTTTCTTCTTTATCGAAAAACTCCTTAAATTCACTTTTGCATTATAAATCGATAATCATTTTTTTACTATCGTTTAATTATATTAATCACTTTAATTACTTTCTAAGCAATTTTGTAATTTAATTAATTAATTTCAATCAAAATTTTATATTGTTAATTTAAATATAATAAAATATGTATTAAAACTCAGACTCGCCTACTTATTTAAATAACTTACAGAACCAAAAGCTAGAAAGGATACGTCACATAGCAGTGTTGTCAATAGGATAACACTTTTTAATAGGATATTATTATTGGAAGTATATTAAGGTCTTGGAATCTACTTCCTTTAAAGAAAAATACAACGCTAGGGCACTTGTGAATCGTATTATTTAAAATAAAGTTTTTACGTATCTATCGTCCGCTCCCCAATTTTTATTATTTGTTGTTAAATATATTTGACAGGAGTACTATGAGAAGTGGATAATGGTTGAGCCGATAGTGTTAAAGAAGTATAGAAATTAAGATTGATAATAAATATTATATTTAAGTTTAATTTACAAAAGAACCAAATGAGTAATTTGAAGTCGCAATATTTTTTTTTTTTTAATTAAATAAAATATCTAAACCATGAAGATTGATTGTGCAGAGTATCACTGAATTGTACTTGGTATCAAAACTGGCCATTATTTTGAACTCAAGTAAGATTTGGTATGCAACGCCGTCGCAACCCAAACTTACTCCTAAATTATAATCCACCCTTTTCTCTTATTGAGCACCAACTGTTATTTATTATTAATTGCTGCATGTTTATATAATCTAAGTTTCTTTTTTAATAAAATCCCCAAGCATGAATAAAAAATATTTCGGAATATGTTTGGATTGGACGACCTAAAGTTAAGAAAACATATTTGTATATAATTTTCGCTTTTCCAATAAGATCGAATTTATTTCATAGCATAGTTTGAGTTTAAGACCTACTTGGAGGAGAATAATACGATCCATTTGATTATGAAAATCAAATTTAAAATGTCTCCACAATTACTAATTGCGGTAACTGAAGTAATACAGTTTCCCAAAGATATTTGTAAAAGTTTATGCTTACATAAAAAAAAAATAAATAAAATCGAGTTATTTACTCAAATTTGAAACGTTAATGCGTGATTTTTACAATGCAACGCGATTCCCGCATGAAATTTTAAATGTTGATAAAAAAGCACACATACTTTTGGGGTGACTTTTCAAAAATTCAAGTTTTCTATTGTGGCATTAAAGCTTTTAAAAATTTGGTATAAAGCTCAAAGCATGAAGTGAGGCTTTAAAACTGTAAGTCAAGTCATAAAATATATTAAAAGTTTAGCAGCTGTCAAACTGTAGCGAACATTATTTCAGTGGTAGGTTCCTTTCAAAAATTTTGTTTTCCTTTCAATTTATGATGTGACGAAAAACAACGCAATTCTTTAAAATAAATATACATTTATACTTATTTTAAAAATAAATATTTAAATAATTATAAATAATAAATACTATTATCATTATACTCTAATACTGGCCTCAAAGAATGTTGTTGTTGTTGTAAACTGTGCAGTTTTATGTAGGACTTCGAATCGAAATTGTATCCGTTCCGGTTCAAAACAAAAAAATATACCTACCATATATGTGACAACCAATTTATGGTTGTAAAATTCGGGTAAAAGTAGAATGGATATCGTTTCGATCATATAAAAACTGATTTAAGATGAATTAGTGGCTATGAAGCAGCTGTGAGAAGTCTAAGAACTGTAAGTTGTATTTTAGCTATTATCATAGTAAATCAAAAAAAGATTATAACTATTCTCAGACAAGCAGATTGGCTGCTGTATGACGTGTCCATTAATTCGTTGCAAATTAATTATGCTTTCAAAATTAAAACAAAAATAGTAAGAAAGGGTAAATAGTAGTACGATAGGGTGAAAATTATTTGAGTGGACTTTGCGTTAGTGTCTGGAAAACAGCTGAACAGAATATTGTGATTACTCTCAGATAATTAGATGGATAAACTGGAAAATCGCAGTTCATTATGTAAATTTCAGACGATCAGTGCAAAACAAACAAAGGCAGAAATCAATCAATAAAATCAAGATCAATAAAATGTCAAGAAAAATGCAACTCTGTGTTTGGAACGTGTTAAATTATTTCATTCTAGCACCATTTACAGGCAAATATAACTTGTTTCGACGCTACTTAACATAATAAGTCGCTTGTAACTTGTTAAATGAGTCGGTGCAGTCAGGGCTTTAATCTACATATTTCCAATTTTCATTTCTGCAAAGAAAATTTAAATTGTTTCATGATAGTTCCAAAGCATTTCATTAAAAATAAATACAAAAAACTAATAAATTATATCGAAAGAGAACAAAAACCGTAAAAAATCGGTAATTATTCAAATTAATGTAGTCGAAAATTTGGCAAGAATAAATGAATGCTTTACGCCTGCGCAGTTGGGAGACCGTTTAATGTGGAACAAAGAGTAACGAACGTTTATTTTCCACTTTCGTATGAAATAAGATTTTCCGCACGACTAACAACGAAAACTCAAATGAAAACACAGAAGAAGAAGAAGAAATATTAAAAAAAAATCTAAAAATCTTAAAATCAAACTAAATAAATATAAATAACGTCTTCGTGTTTGTTATAACATAGCAAAACCAACAACAACCACAACAGCAGTGAGTACAATAGCTTTAAACAGTAATAATAATAATAATAATAAAAGTAAGTGTAGCAACAACAACAACAACGACAGCAACAAACTAACAAACTAACAATTTATTATGTATGCGAAATGCGATTTACCAGTGGAAAATGTGGGTCAGTGCGATGAAGTGCAGATTTTATAATCACTGCAGCAAAAACAAAAAAAAAACACCAGCAAGCAAGCAACACAAAAAATGGATATAACAACAAAATACATGGCAGCAATGAAAGCAAAAACAACGGCAATAGTAAGAGCAATAGTAACAAAAACAAAGCAATAATAAACAAAACAGCAAAGTAAGCTTGCAAGTAAAGCCAACGAACCACAATTCTCAGTTGCACGACGCAGCGCAACAGCTGGCTGCAGCAGCTGAGACAACAGTTGAACGAACCGCAAATTTCTGCATTAGACGGACAGACAGAGAGTCAGGCAGATAGACAGGCAATGTAAATGACGATGTACATACAAGACGATTTTGCAAATTGCACTTTACCAACACATGGTGGAAGGGGAAAAAGTAAAGCAATTTAGCACTGTCAAAGCTTTTCTTCTCACTGCGACTGCGACAAGGAGTAAAAGAGAGAGCGAAAGTAAAAGTTCGGCATTTAGTGTTGGAGAATGGGAAGATCATTTTCCTATTGCGGTAAACAAGGAAACTGGTTTGGTGCAGTATTTGTGGGTGTCAAAGCTTACCTGAGCGATGTCTGCCGATACACGCTTATGGTTTGTCTACGAAGACTTGAGTTGTTTGTTTTGCAAGGAGTTGAATTAATAATTAAAATCGAAGATTAAAAAAAAACAGTTATATGTGTCAACAACTCTTGCTTGTTTTTTAACATACGTATATTGTTTTCTTTTTGTGATTATTTTAATTTATATTTATTACACATTTTTCTCTTTGTTTTTATAAACAGTGTGGGTGATAATATTTATCAATGAACATACACGACATTCGAGTCGCTTGAATGAGTCGAACAATGAGAAAAAAGAATGAGAAAAGAAGGATAAGAAAACTGGTGCAGGGTCGAAAATTATCACAATTAGAAATATTTAGGAAAAATAGATTAAAAGAGATTTTTAATAATTTACTTTTAAATTAAAGTTAAATTATTATTAATTCATTTTTTATGAAAATTGTTTTATATATAAGTATTTTTTTTTTTGATTTATTTAAAAATTATTACTATTTAGTAAATAGTATTTACCTAATATAGCAACTTATATGTTTTGAAATAAAATCTAAAATAAAAGAAACAGTAAAAAAGATATACAAATTATGCAACAGGAGCATAAAGTTTTATATTTATCTATTAAAATTGGCAAAATATTCAAGTCACAGCTATGGACTAATCTTGGACTAGTCCATTTGCAAAGCGTGTCCCTAATCGTTGAAAAAGCAATCACGACATTAAAATAAATATTCATAATAACATACTTTCACGAACGATTTGGATGAAAACATTGAAATCTCCAGACTAAGGAAAATCCAATTCAAAATTCAAACTAATCTCAGTCTCATTCGAAATAAGACCTGAGTCGCGATTAAGAACCAAATATTATCTGTTAAATTAAGTGATTTAATAGAGCTATTGGTATAACTACTGAAAAAAGCATAAAAATGCCATAGATATTTAATCATACAAATTCCGTGATCCAGATAATATCATACCAGCAAAATTCGAAATACTGACGTTAAAAATAATGACCTCAACTTTAAAATACTGATATTCTACTTATTATATCTGAAAGAAATTTTTCAAGCCTAACGTTTTTTTCAACAAATTGGATAATCGTGTAAATAGCTTTAATTTCTATAAAGGGATCATCCCTCATTGTAAACCGAAAGATTTCAGTATGACATTAACATCATTCCCTCTGAAAACATTGCAACGATTTTTTGAACTTCACATAAAATGTGATTAAATCATACAAGCAAAGATTTCATATGAAATCACCATACAGTTTCATATATACGATTAGAAAATCTCTTCAAAGTAGAGAACAGTCCATTATCGCTTTTTTTTACTTTGCAGAGGTTTACAATAACGTAAACGCAAGGACTATTCTTACAGAATTATCTAACCAAACCTTACGTTAATATCAAAAAAATCATCATTTTCATTATATTCGTAAAATTTGTTTTATCTGTGTACGAGGAACGATTATGAACGAGGATCAATTATGGCTTTTTATAAATATATAATGTCAGAAAATATTGATTCGACTGTATGCTATGTTTGTATATGTGTGAATCAAATTAAAAAAGCACTTTGTATGCATATTATTGCATTTCATTTTTTGTTAATAGATATACAAGGCATATACATATATGTAATGGTTGTTACTTACCAAACATTTTCGTAGATATTTTATTTCTAACCATATATGATAACACATTAAATTACAATTATGAATTTCTTGAACACATAAAACCAAACACCCGCAATTAAAATATCTGCCAATGAGAAA